AACTTAGCACATATCATTCTACTCTTAATTCCGTACTCTGTACAAAATTTCGTTCAAATCAAAATATAAATAGGGACTTTGGCGCACCATTTGTATTCAGTCGGGCGAAACGAGCTATATCTAAATCTGAACGGATCTTCACGAAAATTTGCAGACATCATTCTAGACCTTATTCAGTATTATAGGGACTTTGATGCACCATTTACATTAAATCGGACGAAAATATATATGGGACCCATATCTAAATCTAAACCGATTTTCAGGAAAATTGACACACATCATTTCAGACAAGTCAGTACGCTGTGCTAAATTTCGTGTCTATCAAAAGATATTTAGGGACATTGTTGCATCATTTACATTAAATCGGAGGAAAATGTATATGGGAGCTATATCTAAATCTAGACCGATTTTCTCCAATTTCAACAGGATTCGTCATTGGGTCAAATAAGTGACTTGTGCCAAATTTCATCCAATTCGAATCATAAATGCGACCTGTACTTTGTTTATGGATATACTATAAACTTCTCGTGTATATGTCCTTCAGGAGCAAGTATGTACGCCCCAGAATAAAAAATTTGTAATTTCTCACACAAAAGTCAGGGTCCATTTGACCCGCTAAATATTGACCGATCTTAATCAAAACAGGCATGCTTATTCTTAGGCCCGATCCCCTTCTCCATGTAAAATTTCACGGTGTTCGGACCATAACTGCAGCTTCTGGAGCGACCAGAAAAACCGACAAAAATTTAGTATTTGGTCCATTTCATCCCCTAAATATTAACCGATCTTTATCAAAAACAATAGGAGTCTTCATTGGCCAGAACCCATCCTACATGCAAAATTTCGTGAAGATTGGTCCATAACTAGGATAAAGCCAATCGGTGAAGATCTTCCTTATTTTTATCTTGGTTTTTGGTCAAAAATCGACGATTTTCCAAAAATATTTTTTCAAAGGTCCGCCATTTTGTTAATTTTAGAGCGAAGTCAATAATCCTAGTTCATACGAGAGCCAGACATATACTCTTTCTAACACCTTTGGAATTTTCGGATTCCGATGTTCCAGTGAGGAGTTATCATGCCCGCCATCAAAAATAAGGACTTTTCTTTAATTACAAAAAACAACAACAAAACAATAACAAGCATTTTTTGTAAATTATTTTTCATCTCTTTTAAATCTTCAAATATATATGTGCAAAGTTACAAACCTTAACAAGCATTGGTATTGATTTACCAGCCCATTAAAAATCTTGAAAAATTAAAATCGAGAATGGGTGGGGTTCCCTTAAATTATCATAAAAAAATCAATATATAAGTCATGCTTGCATTGATCTTTAATTGCGCCTAAAAGTATGCAACACTTTCTGATTAACCAAATCCATATTGGCTTGTGAACGTTGAAACTGATACATTATTAATTGTTTTTGAATAAAATACATTGTTTTTGTACAATTAAAAAATAAATTTAAGTATTTCATGGAATTTTATAAAATCGAAAAAATCCTTAAAAATGTTTTCCATAAAATCCACCAATATCCCAATGTGTAAAAACAATATTTCTTGGGCCCATTATAATTCTCCTTTCAACAATATTTCACACATAGTTACACTACATAAATAATTTGTATACTTTCACACTTGTATGCCATTATTTAAAACAAACATCGTCCCCCTCCTGAAAAAAAAAACAAATAAGCGAGAATTCACCCTTTATGTAGCCAACACTTCCCAAATAAAAGAAACACAGGTAGTCCAGAATTAATTCAGGGGATTTAGGTTTCAAGAAAATTGAAAAGAAAACACACACGCACACACTTGCCAACAAAAATACGCTTGTCTGGAGTAACGGCGATGACGTTGTTCTGTCATCTTCTTCGTCATCGTCATCATATCAGCTGCAGGCGTTAATGTGATAATCTGATGGCTTGTTTACATGATCAGGCCTCCGTTTTGTTTTCGAGATGTTGTAATTTTATTTGTTGTTGTTGTTTTCTTTTATTTGTTCTTTAAAAAAACAGCAACTGAAAAGAAATGAAAAAGAAAACCACTTTTCCTCTCACACAGTACCAGACAATGGGATATAGCAACGCATTTTGTCGCTCATTAATGGGGAAGGGGTGACGCGGGAAGTGAATGTGTTGCATGCATGCATGCATAAGTGTCTTGTGACAGTAATACGTCATTTGTAATGGGTAAGGTAATATGTAAGTGTGAGTATTGTTCATGTTTTGTTCATAGGGACTTTGGTGCACTATTTACCTAAAATCGGATGAAAATATATATGAGAGCTATATCTAAATCTGGACCGATTTCAGGAAACTTTACACACTTCATTCTAGATCTAATTCAGTACGCTGTGCCAAATTTCGCGCAAATCGAAAGATATATAGCGGCTATGGTACACCATTTACATTAAATCGGACGAAAATATATATGGGAGCTATATTTAAATCTGAACCGATTTTCCCGAAACTTAACAGACATCGCTCTAAGCTCAATTTAGTACGTCATGCCAAATTTCGTGCAAATTGAAAGATATATCGAGACTTTGGCGCAGCATTTAAATAAAATCGGACGAAAATATATATAGGAGCTATATCTAAATCTGAACCGATTTTCACGAAACATAGCACACATCGTTCTAGGCTTAATTCAGTACGCTGTGCCAAATTTCGTGCAAATCGAACGATATAAAGGGACTTTGGGGCATCATTTACCTTAAATCGGACGAAAATATATATGGGAGCTATATCTAAATCTAAAGCGATTTTCACGAAATTTAACACACATCATTCTAGACTCAATTCAGTACGCTACGCCAAATTTCGTGCAAATCGAAAGGTATTTAGGGACTTTGGTTCACCATTTACTTAAAATCGGCCGAAACTATATATGGAAGGTATGTTTAAATCTGAACCGGTTTTCACGAAACTTAGCACACTTCATTCTAGGCCTATTTCATTACGCTGTGCCAAATTTCGTGCAAATCGAAAGATATATAAGGACTTTGGAGCACTATTTACCTAAAATCGGACGAAAATATATATGGGAGCTATATCTAAATCTGAACCGATTTTCAGGAAACTTTACATACTTCATTCTAGACCTAATTTATTACGCTATACCAAATTTCGTGCAAATCGAAAGATTAATAGGGAGTTTGGTGCAACATTTACATTAAATCGGACGAAAATATATATGGGAGCTATATTTAAATCAGAACCGATTTTCACGATACTTAGCGCACATCATTCTAGGGTTAATTCAGTACGCTGTGCCAAATTTCGTGCATATCGGAATATGTTTAGGGACTTTGGTGCACCATTTACCTTGAATCGGACGAAAATATATATAGGAGCTATATAGAAATCTGAACCGATTTGTCCGAAACTTACCACACATCATACCAAACTCAATTCAGTGCACTATGCCAAATTTCGTGCAAATCGAAGGATATATAGAAACTTTGGTACACCATTTACTTTAAATCGGACGAAAATATATATGGGAGCTATATCTGAATCTGGACCGATTTTCAGGATACATAAAACACATCACTCTAGATCTAATTCAGAGCGCTTTGCTGAATTTCGTGCAAATCGAATGATATATAGGAACTTTGGTGCACTATTTACCTGAAATCGGATGAAAATATATATGGGGGCTATATCTAAATCTGAGCCAATTTTCCTGAAACTCAGCATTCATCATTCTAGACTCAGTTTAGTACGCTATGATAAATGTTGTGCAAATCGAAAGACATATAGGTACTTTGGTACACCATTTACCTTAAATCGGACGAAAATATATATGGGAGCTATATCAAAATTTGAACCGATTTTCAGGAAACTTTACGCACTTCATTTTAGACCTAATTCAGTACGCTGTGCCAAATTTCGTGCAAATTGAAAAATATATAGGAGCTTTAATACACCATTTACTTTAAATCGGACGAAATTATATATGGGAGCTATATCTAAATCTGAATCGATTTTCACGAAACTTAGCACACTTCATTCTAGGCTCAATTCAGTACGCTGTGCCAAATTTCGTGCAAATTGAAAGATATTTAGGGTCTTTGGCGCACCATTTACCCTAAATCGGACGAAAATATATATGGGAGCTATATTTAAATCTGAACCGATTTTCACGAAAATTAACGCACATCATTCTAGACTCAATTCAGTACACTATGCCAAATTTCGTGCAAATCGAAGCATATATAAAAACTTTGGTACACCATTTACTTAAAATCGGACGAAAATATATATGGAAGCTATATCTTAACCTGGACCGATTATCCGGAATCTTAACACACATCATTCTAGACCTAATTCATTACACTATGCCAAATTTCGTGCAAATCGAAAGATATATAGAGACTTTGGTGCCCCATTTACCTTAAATCGGACGAAATTATATATGACACCTGTATATAAATCTGAACCGATTTTTCCCAATTTCAATTAAGGTCCTTAATACAATTTTTTTATTGATTTATATTGAAGATATAAAATAATTCCCCCACGTTGGGCGCCATCCAAATTACTTACCCGTTATTTTCATTTCCAATGAAAAAAAATTTTGAAATATTTATTAAATATATTATTTGTTTACTAAAAATTTTAATATAAAAAATTACAAAAAATACAACAAAACAATTATTTATTTATATAACCTAAAAAATCTAAACAAAAACATAACCCCAAAAATATAGCTAATCGCAAAATATATCTCCAACAAATATTAACAAAAATACATACATACATATTGAATTATCATCATCCTTAATATTAAATACATACACACACAAATATTTCTATAATAAAAATTAAACAAATCATTTAATTTAACAAAGAAATATTTTTCTTTAATAGAAAAAATTAGGCTAAGAATTTTTTTATTATTTTTGTATAAAAAGCGAGGATATTTTCCAAAAATTAAATATTGGAAAATTCAAAAACAAAAAGAAGCCAGAAAAAAAAACAAAATTTTGAAACGAATTAAAGTTTCGATTTAAATTTCATGTTCGTGAGGTTCGTCAATGCCGTTGACTGCAATTCCTTTGTCGACTTCTTCTCCACCTTGTCCTCCGTCACCACATCTTGTGGCAGCAAATTACCCGCAGCAAATATATTTTTAGGATCCAGTCGATCCTTGGTAGCCTTATATACCTCTGTACCAGTTTTCGTCACAGTATGTTGATACCATCGTGACCGTATCTTGCCCACACCATGATGATGTGATAACGAACCGCCACATTTTAGGATTTCATCGCGAGCTGCTGATTCTATGTATTCAAATATTTCGACAGGATTTTCAAAACCTTTCATATTGAATGCAAAATAGAAATAGACACAAGCACCCGCATCGTAGGTCTGAGTCACCCGGCACGATATACTATAGTGATGGACACTGCGGGCGTGACATTCCTGGAAAAATGGAGAAGAGAATAAGAGGGATGAATATTTTCGATTAGTTTGAAAATAAGAGATTTAATTTGAGAAATATTAGGGGAAGAGTTGGGCCTTTGATATTCGAATTATTGACAAGTGAGGTTAATGATATATGGTAAAAAGTTCTGGCTTCGAAGAGAAAGTCGTGTATCATTATCTTAAGATAAGGTCCAATATAGTCAAGGATATGATAAAGGTCCCATCAAGGTTATAAGGTCTCAGATACGACCCTTATCTTTGAGATAAGATTCTCTTAGGACCTCTGTATAAGTATTCCTTCTGAGATAAAGTCCCAGTTGGACCATTGAGACCTTTGTATCTGCGAAGAGGTCTACATAGATTTATTGACTCTGAGAAAAATCCATTAACTTTAAGACATTTATTGAAGATAATTATCTTTAGATAATGTTTAGATAAGACCATTATCTCTCAGATAAAGTGTAGTTATGACCATTATCTCATATGACCATTATCTCAGATATGCTTCAGATAAATCCATTATCATTGAGATAAAGTATAACTTTAAACGATCGTGTCCACTTAATGAAATTATCTTCGAGATAATATTTATTGAAGATAATTATCTGTGAAAAAATATGACGAGAGTTTTATCTGTTAGATAATTTAATGTTGGAAAAATCGGCATATCTCTGAAAAGTAGTTATGTCTTAGAATAGGAATGAGTTTGGGGCTGCAGCCTAAGGATTTTGCTTCAGACCGCATATTATCTTTGAGATACATTAATTATCTCATAGATAATGCTATGAGATAATGATCCTTACCCAACCTTACTTCTGAGATAATACTTCTGACCGATCGTTATATTAAAGATAAAGTATCTAACGATACATTATCTTCCAGATAATGTTCCAGACCATCTATTATCTATGAGATAATGACCCTTAGCGAACATAATTTCGATAATATTGCTCCCATTTGGTCGTTATGTCTCAGATAATGCTCCTAAATTTCTATTCTCTTGGAGATAATTCTTCTGGATCGCCTTTATCTCTTAGATAATGCGTCTTTTCGACCGCTATATTGAAGATAAAGCATGTAAAATTACATTATCTCCCAGATAATGCTCCTCTCTATATATTATCTATGAGATAATGATTCTTAGAGGCCATAATCTCCGGAATATTGCTACCAGTTGGTCATTATCTCCTAGATTATGCTCCAGGCTTGCTATTAACTCCAAGATAATTCTCCTGACGCACCCTTATCTCTCAGATAATGTTACTATTATTCCACTATGTAAAAGATAAGGCATCCAAAAAGGCATTATCTCCCAGATAATGTTCTGGGCTATCTGTGAGATAATATGCCTGACTATATATTATCTATGAGATAATGATACCTATCGACCACTATTTCCGGAATATTGTTCCCAGATTGTCGTTATCTCTCAGATAATGCCTCTGACTTGTCATTATCTATGATATATTGATCCTGACCCACCTTTATCTTTCAGATAATACTTATTTTCGATCACTATATTGATGATAAAGCTTCTAACAAGATATTATCTCCCAGATAATGTTTCTGGTTATATATTATCTTTGAGATACTGTTCCTTACTGGCCAATCTCCAGAATATTGCTCCCAGTTGGTTGTTATCTCTCAGATAATGTTTTCTGACTTGCCATTATCTATGAGATAATGATACTGGCACATTTGAGATAATGCATATTTTCGATCACTATATTGAAGATAAAGCTTCAAACAAGATGTTATCTCCCAGATAATGTTCTTTGTTGGTCGTTATATATCAGATAATTATCCTTAGAGGTCATTATCTCCGGGCAATTGCTCCCAGCTATTCATTATCTCACAGATAATGTCCCTGACTTGACATTATCTAAGAGATAATACTTCTGCCTAGCTGCTATCTATGATTTATGTCTTCTAAATGGTCATTATCTTATAGATAACGCTTCTAACAGGAAATTATCTCCCAGATAAAGTACTAGGATGACAATTATCTATGAGATAATGATGCTTATCGATCATTACCTATAAGATAATGATGCTTACAGGACATTATCTTTGAGATAATGATGCTTACCGAACATTATATGTGAGATAACTCTCATTACTCGTCATTATCTTTAAGATAATGCTCCTGACCGACCATTATCTTTACGAAAATAAATCTTATAAGGCATTATCTCGCAGATAATGTACCTTCATGGCAAAGCTCTGTCACCGTCTCGAGATAATGCCTTTAAATTATCTTCGAGATAATTTTCTTGACCAGATAACTGGTCATTATCTTATAGCTAACGCTTCTAACAGGAAATTATCTCCCAGATAAAGCACTAGGATGACAATGATCTATGAGATAATGATGCTTATCGCTCATTATATATATAATAATGATGCTTATCGATCATTACCTATATGATAATGATGCTTACAGGACATTATCTTTGAGATAATTATGCTTACCGAACATTATCTGTGAGATAATGCTCATTACTCGTCATTATCTTTAAGATAATGCTCCTGACCGACCATTATCTTTTCGAAAATACATCTTATAAGTCATTAGCTCGCAGATAATGTACCTTCATGGCAAAGCTCTGCCACTGTATCGAGATAATGCCTTTAAATGCTCATTATCTTTGAGATAATTTTCTTGACCAGACAATTTTTTCTCAAAATTCACTTCAAGGACCTCTACAAGAATTCCATCCAACATCCTACTTACCAATGCAACACGTTGCTTGACATTACGACACAGTCTGGCACAGCGATCCCAAGGTACCGAGGTTTCAAAGGATTCCGCAATAATATCATGTCTCAAGCCCAGATCCTGAAAATCAAAAAAATCCAATTAGAAATAAATTTCAAAATATAATCCTCCCCTTCTCGCCCCTCCGACTTACCCTCATATAAGCAATAACAAAGGTCATAATATAACCACGTTCACCATTCTCACCGCCCGCAGCAAATCCTCGATATTTCTTGGCTATACTGATAACCAATTCCTCCTGACGATTAACATCCTCCAGTTCACCCTCGAAGAGCAGGGTGGCCGCACAGATACTGCTCAAATCGATACCCTTAATGCTGGTCACATACAGCTTCTTCACATAATCTACCACACTGGCTGTCCAGCCTTTTGGCGGCTTTAAACTTTGACCCATAATAAATTGTTCATTATCCATCAGACGTACGGAGGAGGGCTGGCATCTCCTCAAGGCCACTTCACGCATAAATTGAACACCACTTTCGAAATCGGGAAACACCAAACTATTGTAACGTCTCACCGGAGGTAGAGGTCGCACTTTCAGCACCACTTCTGTAATAACACCCAAAGTGCCCTCCGAACCCATAATGATGTGATTAAAATCCGGACCACATGATACGCGTGGCGCCGTACATTCTCGCTCCAGGACACCATTCGGTGTGACCATTTTCACATGCACCACCAGATCTTCAATATTCCCGTAGACATTTTTCTTCATGCCCGAGGCACGAGTGGCCACCCAACCTCCGAGTGTAGAAAATTCATAACTATCCGGCTCATGACCCACAGTCAAGCCTTGACTGCGCAGAGTCCTCTCCAAATCCTGACCCACAATTCCAGCCTCGAAGCACACTGTCATATTGGATTTATTCAACCAAATCATTCGATTCATTTGTGAGGTATCCAGGCAACACATCATCCTCGCCTCCTCCTGAGGACATGTACTGGCACCCGACACCGAAGTACCACCTCCATAGGGTAATATTACAACATTATGTCGATGAGCCATATTCACAAGTTTTACCACCTCTCCATGATTTGTGGGCCAGGTGACAATATCAGGTATACGTTGAAATTTATTGCTACACAGATAATAGATGTCATGCAGCGTCTGACCATGACATCGCACCAGACGATCCATACCCTCTAGGCTATGGGCTATATTCGACGCTGTAAGCTCTCTCAGAAATTCGGCATTAACGGTGGGCTTTGGAAATTCTTTGGGTAATTCGGGTAACGGTAGCTTATTGTGCAGGGTACACTTGAAACGATTCAGCACCCATTCGGTAAAGAGGGGTAGAGTTGTGCCATCGAGGGGGTATCTGGAAAGGAAATGAGAATTTTAATGGGGGTACATTTGAAAAAATAAAAAGGTATTTGTGGGGACCATTATCTATGAGATAACTATTTCTAAGGGTTTATATTTACACATTAAGGGACATTATCTCCCAGATAATGGCCAAAGATGATTGATATATGCAGCATTATCTTTGAGATAAAGGCCGGTTACAAACATTTTCTTTGTACTTAATGATTTCAAGGGTCCTTATATGTTAGGTAATGTCTCGTGGGAAATAATATCGGTAAGATAACGACTTCTAAGGGTTCATATTTTGACATTGTGGAATATTATCTGCCAGATAATGACCTAAAATGATCATTGATGTAGATATATGAAACATAACGGCCGAAGACGAACTTTTTCTTTGGAAAGATTAACAGCAGGAAAAATTATCTTTGAGATAAACCCGGTAAGTAAAATTATCTGTGAGATACTGGCCAGAAAAGAGCATTATCTCTCAGATAAGGAACAAGAGAAACCATATGTTTTAGATAATTACCCGTCATTGGCATTGTCTTCGAGACAGTGCCCGACAAGGATCTTTATCTTTGAGATAACGGTTGTTGACAAAGATTTTCCTTCAGATTATCTGTAAGATAACTACGCTACGCAACATTAGCTTTGAAACCAGAGATAATCATTATCTCTCAGATAATTGCATATGAGGACCTGAAGATAACGACGATAAAGAATATTATCTCTGAGATAATGACGGGAGATAATCATTATCTCGCAGATTATGACAATATATAATCATTATCTTTCAGATAATGACCATAGATAATAATTATCTTGCAGATAATGACCATAGATAATCATTATCTCGCAGATTATGACCATAGATAATCATTATCTGTCAGATAATGACCATAGATAATCATTATCTTTCAGATAACGACCAGAAACATTATTATTTTTTAGATAAAGGCCGCTCATAAGCCTTATCTTTGAGATGATTACTGATAAGAGGCATTCTTTTTGAGGTAAAGAGAGATCAGGGGCATTGCCTACAAGATAATGGCCGGTCGGGAGCATTATTTTTAAGATAATATCCAGTGAAGGCCATTATCTATGAAATTATGAACCCAAGATAATAGCTTTTTAGGGTATTAAGATTATCTCTTAGATAAAGTTTGAACCAAAGCATTTTATCTTAGATAATATACTGTTAGGACAATTATCTAGTAGATAACTACCTGTGTGGGATATTATCTTTGAGATAATTTTAAAATTAATCACCTACAAAGACTCGTGCGTCTCAGATAATGAAGTGCTAAAAATATTATCTAATGCATTTTCAGAACATTCATCTTTGAGATAATTGCAATTATCGAATATTATATTCGGTGTAATGATCTAGCGGGAAGATTCGCAACTAGATAATGCCTAAATAATTCATTATCTGTAAGATAATAGGCGTTTTTGATGTTATCTGATATTTATCTTTGAGATAAAAGTCTAGTAGCATCATTTGGATTTAAGAAATAAAAATTATTCTGCTATTATCTAGTAGATAATTATCAATTAAACATTATCTGTGATATTATCTCTTAGATAAAATTTGAAATAAAGCATTTTATCTTAGATAATATGCTGTTAGGACAATTATCTAGTAGATAACTACCTGTGTGGGATATTTTCTTTGAGATAATTTTGAAATTAATCACCTACCAAGACTCGTGCGTCTCAGATAAAAAAGTGCTAAACATATTATCTATTAGATAATGCTTTTTCAGAACATTATCTTTGAGATAATTGCAATTATCGAATATTATATTCGGTGTAAGGACCTAGCGGGACGATACGCAACTAGATAATGCCTAAATAATTCATTATCTTTGAGATAATAGACATTTTTGAAGTTATCTGTTATTTATCTTTAAGATAAAAGTCTACTTGCATCATTTGGATTTAAGAAATAAAACTTATATTGCTATTATCTAGTAGATAATTACCAATTAGACATTATTTGTGATATTATCTGAAATTATCTCTGAGATAATTGCAATTATGGAATGTTTTCTCAGGTATAATAACTTATACCCATTTAATTATCTTTCAGATAATATTTCTGATATTTATCTTTAAGATAAAATATTAATAGTACCATTTTAATTTAAGAAATCCATATTTTATGGCTATAATCTCATAGATAATTATCATTTAGAGATTATCTAGGTTATTATCTCTTAGATAATTCGATTGTCTATAAGATAATCGAATTATGGAATATTATCGTCAGTACCGTGACAATTATGAGTAGAAAATAATTATTTATCTTTAAGATAATCCAAATTTCTTACGTTATCTGAGGGTCAAATGCATTATCTTTAAGATAAAATGCCAATACCAGCATTTTGTTTTATGAAATCTATCTTAGAACACTATTATCTAGAAGATGATTGTCCGTTTGGAGATTTTTTGGATAATTATCTTTTAGATAATTCGAAATTTATCCCATAGATAATGCATTATCTATAAGATAAATTCCTAGTAAGGCCGCTTTTTTGATATTTTAAACTATCAGGACCTTTATCTAGAAGAAAATTGAAAGTTTCCTAAAATCTAGTTTTTTATCTCATATATAATTTGAAAAGTAATTTAATTTTTTCACTTGTAGAATACTTACTTCTCCCCTCGAAAACATATCATATCATTCTCGACATAAAACTCCGAGTCATTATAGCCCCAGCCATACCATTTGAGGACGTCTTGTCTGGAAGAAATACCAAAAGAAAAAATAGAAATAGAAAACGAATAAAAAGGTCAACGGAAATCAGGACACGTACAACAACAACACCCTGCTTAGAAAAATTCCAAAAATACATGTGCATGTGTGTGTGTGTCTAGGATTTACGCATACACATGTGTTGGGTTGTGCGAAGAAGGGGGATGATTTCGGGTGTTTTTTTTTCTACCAACAACAACAACACTGAGAAAACTATGTCATACCTTTTCTTGGGGAATACACTTTCAACATCCTTAGACAGGCGCTCATCTAAAATGGTGGCGGCATTGTCTGATGACGACGATGATGACGATGACGTTGTTGTTGACGCCGTCGACAATTGGGCGCCACCAGACACAATATCGGCCGTTAACATCTCCGATGCCGGGTTAGACGTCTCCGCTGGCTTTTCCGTTGACGTCGACTTTGCCGTTTCTTTTGCCACTGATTTATATGTGTGCTCCACCATCATGGGAGCCCTGTGAGGAACATTTTCACTGCCAGGCGTTTTTTCCATGGAGGATGTGGTATTGTTGGATGTAACATTTATGCATTTATTTGTCATGACCATGGTGTTTTTCTTTTTAACTATTATTTTTTTCTATAAAATATATATAGCACTTCCGTTTCCTCTACTAGTATTTTTTTTATTAAAAAATATTTTCCTTTGAGAGGATTCTGATTTTGTAGGCGGGGAAGCAGTAATTTTATTTGTTTGTTTCTTGAATTTTTATGCTATCGATTTTTATTTCACGTTGCTTTTTTATGCGTTTGTTTTAAGCTTAGTTAAATTTTTTTATTAAATTTCCAACTCGTTTTTTTTTTGGTAGTGACTTTTATTAACAGCTACTTGCTTTCCTTTTTTCCTTTAAATATTTTTTATTTAGAAAATTTTGTTATTTATATTTTGTATTCTTTAGGGTTCTCTCCGTTTCTCTAAATAGTCTTTACACGCACAGCTTTCTTTTACAAAATGTCCATTACAACTGTCTGCGATACGAAAAATAACTTTGAAGGGATATTTTATTTTCTTTCATTCCATTAAAACTTAAAGTTCTGCAGTGCGCCTGCACCATACTTGTCAATTATTAATACCTTTAAGGGAGGCAACGGCATGCAAATCAAGAGAGGGAGAGAATGACAGATGAAAGGGCTCTCCATTTCTATGTCAAATGTGGTTGAAGGAAATTCACAATATGTCTCCCCTCTCTCATGCTCTATTTGCCCTGTAATGTTGAGCACATGTCATCATGTTTATCATAACAAAATGAAGGTCTACTTTCGCTTCTCTTTTCAGTGAGAAGAGTGTATAGCTACACTCTTTTTATATGAGGGACACAGGTCTTGACTATTTTAAAAGGAAAATTAAAATTTAATTTAATTTAATAATAAAATTTGTAATTTGTGGATATTTTTTATATTTTATTTTCGGATATTTTATTTAAATTGAAGAAATCCAGAAATAGGGATCTGATAGAAAATTATTTTATACAAAAAAATCCGCGCTATTAAACAATATTTTTTAAAACAGGCAAACCTTAAAAAAAATTCATTTAAAAATCATCGCATAGATGTCAGAAAAAAATTAATTAAAAAATAGTATTGTATTTAAACACCAGAGAGTGGAGCAGTATAGTCGGACGGGGCCGACCATTCGACACCCTACACAACTACCGCGAAAAGCAAACTTTCAGCGGTTCTATATTCTGAGCCTGGGCAATATTTCGTGATATTTGCACTTATTTTACCGATTATAGATCAACAACTCCACTTTCTAATATTTTCCAAAAATTTTTTTCTTGAAGTGAATTTTTACGCCATAAAATAAAAAAATAGTCACTTTAGGTTTTGGTTGATTTGACCCTTGGAATATCACCTTGTAAAATATGTAATGTTCTGCATATAATAACTGCCTCATTGCACCCCCTGAATGAAATCTCAACTTCACCGAAAACTATATGCGTCGTCTTTGACCATAATCGGAACTTCAAAGCGATCAGCGCGACATTTCTTTCCTTTACCTAATTACGTATAACTCCCACATCAGAGTACATAAAGCCATATAATTGATATCAATTTGAAGGTCAACAAATCCTCTTGGATATACTATCAACAAATTTTGTAATTTTTCACACAAAAGTCAGGGTCCATTTGACTCGCTAAATATTGACCGATCTTTATCAAAACAGTCATGCTTATTCTTTGTCCCGATACCCTTCTCCATGTAAACTTTCACAATGTTCGGACCATAACTGCAATCTCTGTAGCGAGCAGAAAAAAGTCCAAAAGTCAGGGTCCAATTGACCCGCAAAATATTGACCGATCTTTATCAAAACAGGCATGCTTATTCTTTGGCCCGAAACCGAAGTTTGGGCCATAATTGCAACTGTATAGTGTTTACAAATTATAATGCGGCCTCTGGAGCGACCAGAAAATCAGACAAAAATAAAGTTTTTGATCCATTTCATCCCCTAAATATTAACCGATCTTTACCAAAAACAATAGGGGTCTTCACTTGTGAAAATATATTTTTATACCCTTTACCACACATGTTCGTAACAGGCAAAAGGAAACGATGGTTCCTTTTGAGAATATGCATAGAATCACTTTCTGAGTCGATTTATGTTTGTCCGTCCGTCTGTAGATGTTAAATTGTAAACAAAGTACAGGTCGCATTTGTGATACGATTTGAATGAAATTTGGCACAGCTCACTTATTTGGCCCAAGGACGAACTCTATTGAAATTGAAGAAAATCGTTTCAGATTTAGATATAGCTCCCATATATAGTTTTGTCCGCTTTTATGTAAATGGTGCACCAAAGTCCCTATATATTCTTCGATTTCCGCGAAATTTTGCATAGTGTAAAGATTTGAGGCTAGAATGATGTGTGTCAAGTTTCGAGAAAATCGGGTCAGATTTAGATATAACTCCCATATATAGTTTTGTCCGATTTTATGTAAATGGTGCACCAAAGTCCCTATATATCTTTCGATTTGTACGAAATTTGGCATAGTGTACAGATTTGAGGTTAGAATGATGTGTGTCAAGTTTCGAGAAAATTGGGTCAGATTTAGATATAGGGATTTAAGGTAAATGGGGCACCAGAATGAGATGTGCTAAGTTTCGAGAAAATCGGATCAGATTTAGATATAACTCCCATTTATAGTTTTGTCCGATTTTATGTAAATGGTGCACCAAAGTCTCTATATGTCTTTCGATATGCGCATATAGTGTACAGATTTGCTCCCATATATAGGCTAGAATGTAAATGTGTGTCAAGTTCCGACCGGCACACAATTTTGTACAATGTACAGAAGTTACTATATTTGAATGTTTTGTACGTTGAAGTATTTCTAACAAACTCCTTTAAATATATATATTTGTTCGCTCATGACTTGTGTATTTACAGAAATTTCATGATTTTTTCTGTATTTGTATTTACACTTGATGTTGTTGTTGTTCTGCATATTCATGGGGATTTTCGTGCCTTTGTGATGGAAATCTGTCCCTGCCATAGCTCGTGTGTTATGTTTCGAGAAAATCGATTCAAATTTAAGTTCGTTCAATTTCATGTCAATGCTCCTCCGAAAAGGCGGCGTCTGTTTAGGATACAATGTAGAATATACCCAAAGTGATGAAGGGTATCATATAGTCGGCCCAGTCCGACTTTACTACTTTCCTTACTGGTTTTTATATGTCAATCTTGTTTAATCCTCTCATTAAGGATCGCAGTACTTTCTTTCAATTCCAAGTCCGCAAATCATTATTTCAACGCCGTCAAAATTTATCTCCATTACTCCACTCCCTCAGGATGACATTTACAGTATCTCTTCCCCCACAATATTTCTCTCTCATCTAAATGTTGCTAAAGAGAGAAAGAGAGAGAATCCATTATATCCTCTTCTAAAGAAAAGCCCTTCCCCACAAAGTGTTAAACTATCATCTGTCAAAACAAAAAAATGTGTTATGCGCGCGCATGAATAACAAAACTAACAAAAGCACGAAAAAAAAAACAAAACTTAAACGGAAATAAACAACTGCTGCTAAAAGTGTCAACTTTGTTGTTGACAGCAATTGCAACAACAACAACACCAGCAATATGCGACACAATGTACTGCCGGTGTGTAGTGCAATTTTTTTTAGTTAGTTCGCTTATTTGTTGTTGTTGTTGTCAACAAAGCTGGGTGTAAATCCCTTGAAGAAAATTATGATGATGATCATGATGATGGTGATGCTGTAATGTAATTGGTAAATATGTTACACCTTGAGGGGAAGATGGAAAAAAAAATTTAAAAAATTCACGCCTTAGAATGGACCATGAAAAATTTAAAAATCCACGCCAAGAAGAATTTTTTTAAGGATCTTGAAAAATATATTTTTTTAAAAATCCACGCCATGAAGAATTTTTTTAAGGATCTTGAAAAATAATTTTTTAAAAATCCACGCCAAGAAGAATTTTTTAAGGATCTTGAAAAATATATTTTTTTAAATCCACGCCAAGAAGAATTTTTTTAAGGATCTTGAAAAATAATTTTTTTAAAAATCCACGCCAAGAAAAATTTTTTTAAGGATCTTGAAAAATATTTTTTTTTTAAAACTCCGCGAGAATTTGTTTTAAGGATCTTGAAAAATATTTTTTTTTTTAAATCCACGCCTTAAAGATTCTTATATTATATATTTAGGGAGGACTTGGGAAAATTACTCTTTAAAAAATCTGGTTCCCAATGGGTTAATTTCACACTTAGCTCTCTGTTTGTGTTTCTTTTCAACAAATTATGCATAATTTTTTTTACTTCGTGTAAAGTGTGCACTGTGTGAACTTTGATGTGTGGCATGTTGCCTAATAGATTTGAGGTAGGCTACCCTCAAATGCAGGACAAACAAACATTTGGTGGCATTTGTGATGTGTTCCAATTCCAACATTACACACACACACACATGTGTGTATGTAAACGTCACACACAAATGTCAATTATTTTGTTTTGAAAAAAATAAAACTCCCCCCCGGTGAGAACAATCTTCGAAAGGGGGTGATTTGAGTGCATGAGAATTGAAACTAAGATCGGATTGGGGTTGTTGACAATGACTTTCCTGAGCTTTTTTTTCGTGCGGGCTATGCGTGACCTACCCCTAAAATGTGGTATTTTGAAATGTCCATAACCCCCTTTTCAAAAACTATGTCATTTCAATTCCAAAATGAGAGCACAACCAACACACATGGTGTTCGTCAAGAGAGAAAGTGGCAATCCAAGGGTCACATATATATGGGAATTTGAAAATGTGTGCCCATAATAAATTATTTAAAAACACGAGAATTATATTTTCTTTTCTAAAACAATAACAATTGTAATTACAAATCTAATTGCTTATTATCGCACACAAATTGAATTGAAAATAAAGAAGAAAGTGGAATAAAAATAGAATAAACCCCATAAATATTCAATTACGTTCAGACACCAATCAATTAGACCAACAACCTGGCATTGGGACTGAGTGGTCTGGGAGGGCGTTTTGAAGATTGGTGGTGAAAAAGTATTTAAAAAAAAATAATTTCATAACAATTTAGTTAC